CTTCAATGATGTCGGCTTCTTGGCTCTGGGGACCTCCCTCTGCTTCCCCTTCTTCATCAGGGGAGCGCTGGAGTCCAAGGGGTTGTGCGGGGTCTTCACCTGGCTGAAGCGGTGGCCCTTCTTCCCCAACGTGGCCTCTTTGGAGAGAACAGGAACTGCCCCGACTGCAACACAGTGAGGATGCAGGTCTCAGGGAGGCCCCGGTGCCGTCCCCGCAGCCAACTGCCCCGTGGACGGTCTCGGGCAACGACGCCAGTGAAACAGTACCTTTCAGTGGGGCTCCAAAGAAAGTGTCAATGAATTTAGGAAGAATCGTCTTCCTATCCCTCTATGAAGTCTCTTGTTTCTCAGTGAAGTCTATTAATGTGTGACCTCACTTGCTGACTGAGGGCACTTCTGGTAGTCTGCACATACGATGGCTCTACTTCCTACCCCTTATTCCTCCTCCCAGGAAATAGTTCATCTGTGTATGCTTCCCTGTACTTTATAATTAGGAAAATTTCCAACATTACAGCAAAGAGAACAGAATAACAACAAAACCCATGTACCCACTGCCCAGCTTCAACAACCATCAAGAATCTCCCAAATGTATTGACCCACATTTGGTCAGCATGGCATTTCAGTTACTAGTGCTTTGTTAATCGGGTGTATCCATGCAATCTCACCTGTCGGGTTCTCTGCTACAGTGTGGAACGAGTCCACCGTGCCCTTGCTCTGCGCCATGTCCAGCCTTGGCCGCGGCACAGATGCTGTTTATCTGTGGAAACCTGCTCCCACCATTACGTTTGAAATGTATGTGTAACTGGCTTGATTCTTGTCATCGGCTTTTCTTGAAAAATGAGTCATACCAACCCTGCTCACACAGGCGTGCTCTCCCATCCCAATGCCACCCGAGTTCAGGACCCCCACTGGGCCCCTGCACCGCCCACTGCAGCCCTCCAGCCCTGTCCCTCCTGTCTGCACCCCGTGCCATGTGACTTGCCATAGTGTTAACGGGGGACCTGGGCAAGGAGGGCCCTTCCCAGTGGAAGCCCCAATAAAGGCTCTGGCCTAACCCCCCCTCCCTCCTGCCCACCTGGTCTTCTCCGTGTGGCTCTGCATGCTGTCTCCTGTTTCCAGGACCTGGGAGTAGGATAAGCTTTGCTTTTTCTTGAGCTTCTCCTGTGCTTCCTCCTGTGGCCACACCTGACTGACCATATCATCAAAAAATACATAACAAGCCTCGGCTGGGTTGCTTAGTGGTTAGGTCCAAGGGTTGGCCCATGGACCTAAGAATCAAGGGCATGTCCTTCAGTTGCAGGCTCGATCCCCAGCCTCAGTCAGGGTGCATGCAGGAGGCAAACCAATCGATGTTTCTCTCCCTCTATCTCGCCTTCCCCTCCCTTCTCACTCCCCTCCACTCTCTAAAAAATCAATGGAACTTTTACCATTTGCAACAGCATGGATGGAGCTGGAGAGCATTATGCTAAGCAAAATAAGCCAGTCAGAGAAAGATAAGTATCGCATGATCTCACTCATATGTGGGATATAATGAACAACATAAACTGATGAACAAAAACAGAACCAGAGACAAACACTGAACAGACTGTACAACCTCAGAGGGAAGGCAAGTAAGAGATCAACCAAAGGACTTGTATGCATGCATATTAGCATAACCAATGACACGGACACTGGGGCAGTGGGGGACTGTCCTGAGGGGTGGGGGTGGTGGGTCGATTGGGGAAGGAGACATATGTAATACTTCAAACAATAAAAACAATTTTTTAATTATAAAAATACTTCAGGATAAAAAAGCTTCTTAATCATTTCCTTAGGTGCCTACATTTTTCTTTTAAAAATAAATTTAATAAACTACCTCAGAAGGAGGAAACATACTGAAAAGACTATAGTGGCAAATGTGCATCTTCTTTTGTTGACGTATTGCCAATTTTAACATCTTGGCTCTCTGAGGCTTTTCAGAGGCGAGAATGGTGTTATCAGAACTGAGCCGACACTGTTATGAGGTGCGACCCAGGGACAGGCAGGTAATTCATTTCTACCAGATTCAGCTTTGTTTAAAGCTGTACAGGGCACTTATGTATCATGAGATTTTCAGGTACACAATGCCACCATATCTATTTCTTAAAATCATACTTAATTTTTTCAATGGTTATGGTAAAATACATAACATAAAATCTACTATTTTGACAGTTTTTAAGTGCACAATTCAGTGGCATTAATTACGTTCACAATGTTGTGCAAGCATCACCACTACCCATCTCCATAACTTTTTCATGTCCCAAACTGAAAATCTGTCCCCCTTAAACAGGAACTCCCCATCCCCCCTCCCCTCAACTCCTGATAACCTATACTCTACTTTCTATGAATTTGCCTATTCTAGAAAATTAATGTAGTGGAATCATACAATATTTTTCCTTTTGAGACTGGCATATTTCACTTAACATGTTTTCAAGTTTATCCACGTTGTAGCATATGTCAGAATGTCCACATTTTATCCATTCATCTGTTGATATATATTTGGGGTGTTTCTACCATTTGGCTATTATAACTAATACTGCTATGAATACTGGTGTTCAAATGTCTGTATCTGTTTTTAATTATTTTGGATAAACACAGAGGAGTGGAATTGCTCTGTCAATGGCAACTCTATTCCCCATTCTGAAGAACCACCAGACTGTTTTCAAAAGTAGCTGCATCATTTTACATTCCCACCAGCAGTTTAACAGGGCTCCAAGTCCTCCACACCTCACCAGCATGGGTCATTTTTGTGGTTTTGCTTATAGCTACAGAGGAGGTATGAAGAACTACCTCAGTGAGGTTTTGACTTGCATTTCTCTAATGACTGATGATGATAAATATCTGTTCATGTGCTACTGGCCATTTGTATATCTTCTTGTGGAGAAATGTCTTTTTAAGTGTTTTAGCCCATTTTTTGAGTTTGTTACTGAGTTGTAGTTCTTATATATTAGAGATCAAACGCTTATCAGATAAGATTTTCAAATATTTTCTCCCATTCTATAAGTTGTCTTTTCACTTTCTTGATAATGTCCTTTGGTACACAGATGTTTTTAATTTTGATGAAATCCAATTAACCTATTTTTAATACTTTTGCTGCCTGTCCTTTTGGTGTCTGAACTAAAAATCCAATGTCTAATTCAAGAGCATGGAAATTTACCTGTTTTCTTCTCAGAGTGTTACAATTTTAGCTCTCATAATTAGGTCATTGGTCCATTTTGAGTTCATTTCTGTTTATGTGAGGGTCCAACTCTATTCTTTAACATGTGGAAATCCAGTTGTCCCAGAATAAATGTTCTTTGTTCTTTTAATGAACTCAGCACCCCTGTCAACAATCCACCGGCCATGCATATGTGAGTTTACTTCTGGACTACCATTTCTATTCCAATGGTCTGTCTACCCTTATTCCAGTACCATACTGTTTTGTTTATAAATGACTTTTGATTACAGAAGAAAAGTCACAAAATAGTCTATCTGAAAAACAACTTCCAATTGTTTGAGATTAAAAGGCCCTTTTACCTGAAAACACCACTGGTTTGGAGGACTGCTTTGCATTCTGGGAGTGCTGCTTCTTTTCCAGTGCTGTCAGCATTCCCCCCAAATCCAACTGTACTGGAGTTTGGCTCTTCTTTCCACTTTTAAAATTATTCTAAAAAGTTCAAAAATTATAAGTTTATTTATAACAATACATTTTACAAGCTGTGCTTTTCATCTTATGACAAAAAATCATATAATTAAAGATAAAATGAAATAGATTTAGAGACTGTAAAAATCTTAAATAAAGAGAAAAACCCAAGCAATCCCCACATTCCACCGGGGTTATTTCCTCCCTCTCTTCTCATAACACTGGGTTACATTAAACCACCTACAATTATGTCTACATCTCCCCTGTATCAGTGTACATCTACAGACAAGAAACCAACCCTTGTATGAAGTCTTTGGCTCTAACAGTTTGCTGTATGTGAGGCTAATTGGTCAGTATTAGTGCCTTGTTAGCTCCATTCATTCTTCAATTGCCCAAGTGAGCCAATCAGCTGCCATGAAACAGATTTACCCAAGTCCCATCACACCAGCAGGTGAGTGCCACATTTAGACACAAAGTTGGAGGTACTCTCAGCAAATGTGACTTCTGACACAGTTGGGCTCTGGGTTTGAGACAGTAATGAAAGCTGTGCAGGCAGGTTGTGGCACGTGCTTTAGCACCGTCACTTCTGCTCTCCTGCCCACTGTTTTCTTCTCTGACACCACACCCACTGGCTAAAGGCTCCGTCACGGTGCCAGCACTCGGTGCAGTACAGGTGGGTACATCATAACATGGTCATGCAAAGTTAATTCACACAAGGGTGTAGAATTCTTCCTTCCACAAATGTGAAACATTACCTCGATTTGAAAGGCAAAATGACAATGAACCTGCCCAAAGCACAGAAGTTCCCCATTTAGATCATGAGCCTTAAGTTCATTCCTGAACCCACGGGGCGGGGACAAGGAGCAGCAGCTCTCCCGCTGTCTGACTACTTAGAGTGAAACTGGACGGCTCGGTTGTTTTCCTTCTGTCAGACACTACTGCCTCACAAAGGAATTCTTGGTCCCTGAATACAGGGAATCACCAGTTTTTCTTTAAATCAGCATCTCATAGGCAGTACGTATTTGCCTCCTTTCTGATATAGCAGTGGTAATTACCAACAGTCTTATTACAAAAGTGACAGTGTTTTAGCTGAAAAGCAGTTCTGCTTCAACATACCGAATGCCTCCAATGAAGGAAGAAATAAAAACAAAACCGGTCTCCACAAAGAAGTCTGGAAAGCAGTTTTGTCTTAAGAGTCAGTTTAGCAAGAAAAGTTAAGCCTAAAGCAATTGTGGGTTTCAATCTAAAATTTACCTGTGGCTGCTGCTTAGATTGACATTTCCGTGACTCTACTCTGTCTCTGTCTCTTCTTTCAGATGCAACTGCCAGAATGGGAAACTCTTCAGTATCCTAAGTAAACCACACACCCTTTAGCGCTTCATGAATCGTGAGACCCAAGTATGCCCAAGTGAAGCCTTCTCCTTGCTCACATATTCTACGGTAAGTTCCCACGGAAGGGCTCAAAGGTTGATACAAAACAGGCCAAAAACTGTATCATAAGGGCTTCAGCTTAATTTTACATAGAACCAATTTAAAGACCATAGTTCTAATCTCCTGCTCCACAGAGCAAGAGTGGGGACCCCAAGGAGTCCACAGACTGCCCCTAATGACCATGGCATCAGAGTGTTCAGCAGCCACCCTTCAATTACTCTTCGCATTTTGCATCAATCCAGACTCAGGGCATGTCAGTGTCCTGTCATGTTGCTGAACCCAGGCTGGAAAATAGAGAGGGGGGGGGCAACAGGCCTCTAAACCACATTTACATCCTTTAAAATGTCTTGTGTGCTCTGTCAACATTTTAGGTGCCTTGGAGAAGTTATGTGAGAAGAGCAGAAATATGAAATATTTATTGGCCAAACCATAATGCTATGCCATGATCATAGTTCTTCAAACACAACCCACCATTCTCAAGGGAATGTTCCAAGAGCCTTGGGAACCCCCAGATTGAGGGAAAGCCTCGGCCTGACCCTAAGCGGGGCGCCCAGGCAGCCCTGCTGACCTCCTGCAGGCCCCAGGAGCCACGCTGCTGAGTCTACTAGCGCAGACCCGGGAGAAATAGGGTTCGAGCCCAGGACGCCTGGAGGACAGGGACATTCTTGGAGTACCACAAGGACAACAATTTAAAGAGTGCTTTTGCAAGTCCATGACATTCTTGTGACCAGGGCCCATGATGGCTCCCTGGTATTTTAAATTTCTCTCTCTAGTGAAGCACATTATAATAAGATTTCTGGATAGAAAAGGAGGCCCTGCAAAAGCCAGCATGCCAAAGTGAAGAAAAAAACATGTAAAGAAGATATTTATGAGAGACAAATATTAGTACTATGGTGTATAAACTATTGAATTTCAATATAAGAGTTTTGTCTCTAGACCCCAATGTTTATTGAGTGCCTGCTATGAGGCTTTCTTCACTGGCCAAAATGAAGATGTGAAGAAAATGGATAATGGCTCTTTTCTTCAGCACTAGGTGGGCTATTATTAAAGAAAATGTTGAAGATTTTCACTTAGGAAACCAGTGAACCCACATTTCTATTAAGACGGACCCATATATCACACAAGGGGGAAATAAATATGTACTTCAATCCGTGGTGGCTCTTGTGCTGTGTGAACTTCATATTTTGATTTAAACTTTTCTTTCTTTTTCTTATTCCTTCTTGAGGCTTCATTTTGCTCAGAATCACCACCTTGTGATGCTTTGCACTAGAAACAACAACAAAATCATGGTTTTTTAGGACATTCAATTAAATGTTTAATTCCATGTATTAGAGCAAAATTAAGTTATCAACTTGTATAATCACATGGCAATTTTATTCATAGTTTGCCTCTTCATTCTCTATTTTCCAAAGAGCTAGCATTCTGGAGAATAATTCGGAAGAAAAAAAAATCTGTGAAAATAGTTGTGTTCAATATTTTGAAACTGGTAGATTTAGACAGAACCCAGTTTTCAGCCCACGGAGAACAGGTTAATAATTCTACTAATTCCGACTTGAAGTCCCTTCACAGATCCAGGTGTGCCATCTCCATCACCGGGGCCCAGGGGTTCCTACAACTGACTACACATGACAGTCACCTGTACAGCCTTCAAATCAGAACGTCTGGCCCATCCCAGACATCCTGAATGTGACGTTAGCATCCCACCCTCGCCTCAGGCTGGCCTTTCCCAGTCCCGGTCCCCCACACTGTGGCCTCAGGGCTTTCGCACTATCACTCACACGGGTTGAGGCTAAGACTGCACCCCCATTTCAGCTCCAGTCTCCCTCCTCTATCTGGCCTCTCCTCCACCCTCCTTGCTACTTGACAGCTTCTGCACCTGTCTGCACAGCACTGTCCCTCTGCATCCGAACGGGGTTCTCAAGGTTTTTAGGGACCCTGTTTTATCCTCAATGGGAACTTATCATTCACAGCTAAAAGCCTCAGTGGCCATTAAAGAGTGTTTATCTACTGACCTGGGGTGGGGGTGGGGGGGCTGTCTATGATGTTTTGTAAAGTGGATAGGGCAACTTTAATGTGTATAAAATGACCATATTTTTGTTAAGGGGGAAAAAAGTTAAAAAACAAAAAAAAACACCCTATTTGTTTATGTTTTCAGGAACCTGAGGTGGGGTACATACCAGGTTGGAAATGCAGGCTTCCTTGGGGGTTTGGGGGGCACAAAGAGGTATAGGAAAGATGACCTTTTCCATAACTAGATCCTTTTAGCATTACGTTTGTTATTTTGGTAATAAAAACTTACAACCCTGAAAGTTTTAAAGAAAAAAGCCATTATGACCCCTAATATCCCTGCTGTGTATAATGAAAAGCAATCTAGGTTCTAAGATTACAGGGGATCGTCCTTTTATGACCTTTTAAAAACGATTCTTAGAAATTAAAAAATCTGCTAACTATCCGGAAAACCACTTCGGACAGGAACTTGGCGGCTGCAGCCAGAGGGGCCTGAGCAGCCAGTGCCCAGAGGTCGGCGGGGCCTGGGAGCTAGCGGTGTATCAGAGGGGTCTGACCTGCACCTGTTCTCACGTGAGTGCACAAAGCTGTGTGGGACAGCACACAGGCCTGTCTCCCTCTCACTGTCGCCTGCACACATTTCCTCAGTCAACCAGGCACCAGCGCCCAGCGCCCACTTGGGCAGGATGTTTGTGACACTTTGGACATCAAAAAGTAGCCTCACACCCCAACACTGGGAACCCCCACACTAAAGAAATGCAACCAACATCCACCTACAGGAATCTATCAGTACACTGAAAATCAGGAACAAAATCGAGACTAATGAAAAAGGCTCTTCAAGATACAAATCTAGGGATCAATAAAAATGACAGCTTAAACTGATTAGAACTAAAAGGAAAAAATGGATTCTAAAATGCTACCTTACAGTATGTAAGCTGGAATCAACCAAGAATCAGTAACATATACCAAGTGAATGTAAAAACATGGACTTGAATTACTGTGCTCTCAGTCCCCTGGCAGGTAAAAGGAAATTGATTTAAACTCAATAAACAGAGACTGGGAGAAAGAATGCAGCACCAGAGCATACATTTCTGCCAGCTTCTCTCCTCGAAAGAACTCAGAATGGGGCACAGCTATGTTAGCCCACTGGCCTGGAGTGTGCCTCCTCACTCATGCAAAGCTGCCACTTGTATTCCTTGCTAAGGGCCTATTCTTTTTTTCAAGGTTCAAGCAACCAACTCAGGTGACACCCGCAGTACAGAATGAAACACTGTCAGTCAGGATTTGAGAAACAAATAGAAGTCCAGCCAGCGGTACACGAGACCCACATTATCTGAATGGATGCATACCTTTTTAGTTGAGTGGACAATGGGTTTCTCTCTGTTGTAGGAAGGATCCGAAGATAAAACTTGAGAAGATGATTTGCTACCATTTTTAGGATCTGCTGATGAAACAACCGTCTTTAGGTTTATCACAGAAGTAACAATTCTAGGGGCTGATGATGACTCTGTAGGTAACGTCTGACGGACAACATAACCCATTGGCGTCCAGGATAACTCTGCTCAGAGATAACCACAATTGGGGAACAGTCTCAACAGCAAACACAAACTCCTTAGAGATTCCAAACATGCATCACGTGAGAGAATTACTCAGGCATAATTAAATTTAGGCTGTTCAAAACATTCTCTTGGGAAGGACGATATTCACTAAACGTGTTTTCCTAGGAACATGCATGCTGAATTTACTTGTTAGGTTAACCGATCTTCCTAGAAACTGGTTTTCACTTAGGGTTGTTCAGTTAAAAAACAGCAATCCTCAATTACGTCCACGTGGCAAACACACGGAATTAACGAGCTAAAGATCAAATATTCGCCCTACTAACCTTGATGTGTATCTTTAACAGCAGAAGTCAAAGGTCACTAGACTTCAGCTATCACAATAACTGGAAATTTATTTCTTTTTAGAGCAGAGGCATAAGCACAGCCACACTACTCCTTAGGTGCCCATGAAACTCTATATACAGACAAAACAAAAGGACAGCCATCAGGACATGGGCAAGACATGTCAGCAGCCTGTGGCTACCCCAGACGATAAGACAGACTGTTCCTGTCACCACAGAGCTACACACCCTTAGAGAAGTTTGTAAGTGAAGATCTTTGTACCAAACATACGAATGCAAAAGACAACATACCTGTGGGTAAATCAGGAATAATTTTGTGAAAATGTCTTCTATTAGGAAAAGCTACTTATAAAGATTTCAAGAGCAGACTCTATTGAATGCTCTCTGAATATTACTTCTTAGCCAGGACAGGACATACTGGCAGCTCTCCAAGTGTGGCCTCAGGCTCCCAGGACCCTTGAAGTCAAAACTGCTTTCCTGACAGTAGGAATGTGTTACCTGCGTCTCTCTCTGCCTTTCTTCTCCCCCCCGCCTCTCTTTTACAAAGATTGCAAAGGCAGGACAGAGAAAAAGCCAAATGGCAAGGCAGATCTACAGAGCCAGCCACTGAAGAGTTGCAAAAAAAAAAAAAGTCTGCTCTCCTTATTGCCTTACTTTTGTGGAAAACAGTTATTTTTCATAAAAATGCTATGTTACTTTTAAGTGAATTAGTAAGTATTTTTGAAATTACTGTTTAACTTCAAATATTGCAAATACTGACAGTTGTCTAAACCAGCGGTCACCAACCTTTCAGACCTCACGGGCCACCAGTGGTCCGTGGACTACAGGTTGGTGACCGCTGGTCTACACAGAAGCTCTGTGGGGCTGTGTAAAGGGTATTAAGGGTTCCTGAGACCAAACACCATGAGAACCTCTGGTACAGGTAACACTTAACGAAGCTACCATTTTTGAGTTGATAAATTTTTTCACTGAACTGAGTAAACATTTCATTTAGAATTCTTTGCTATCCTACACTCCTTACACATACATGGAGATCTCATCTACTTCAATCTTCCAAAAACATTGTCAGTTTATCAACAACCTTTCACCTGCCTTAAAGAAGGCTTTAAGATAAAAGGTGCACTAGACTAAAAATGAACTTAAAAACAGACAACTGATTTTTGAAAATGGTATTTGGTAGCCACTCTTACCTCCTGCACATGGAGAGGAATTGGTAGCAGCATTATCAGTTACAGAGTCAGTCGGCTTATTATTTTTCACCACTATTTCACCCTAAAGAGCAAACCAGTTATTTAAAAAGCAAACCAGTTATTTTCTTACTATTTCAAATGGGAAAGTAATCATTTAATTTTTAAATACAGCTTCCTTGCCATTCTTAAAATCTTCAAAATATGTGCTAATTAAAAATTCCAAATACCTAAATATGTAAAGTGAAAAGTTAAATTGTTTCCTTCTGCCAATTCTCTCTCTAGCAGAAAATCACCCACAGCTTAGCTAGCATCTCTCTACTTCTTGGTCTAGGACAGCGGTTCTCAACCTATGGGTTGCGACCTCTTTGGGGGTCGAATGACCCTTTCACAGGGGTCGCCTAAGACCATCAGAAAACACATATATAATTGCATATTGTTTTTGTGATTAATCACTATGCTTTAATTATGTTCAATTTGTAACAATGAAAATACATCCTGCATATCAGATATTTACACTACGATTCGTAACAGTAGCAAAATTACAGTTATGAAGTAGCAATGAAAATAATTTTATGGTTGGGGGTCACCACAACATGAGGAACTGTATTAAAGGGTCGCGGCATTAGGAAGGTTGAGAACCACTGGTCTAGGAGATAATTTTTATATAGATCCTAATAATGGGATCACATCACACATCTTAAGCAACCTTTAAAAGATCCACATATCAGACAACTTTTGCATCAGTGCAGACGTGCCAATACCATTCTTAAAACCCGAGTGCCCCCACAGGAATGCTAAAGCATCATGTACTGAGCCTACACACCAAAGTTCCAAAGTCCCTCCAAACATCCACAAAGATAACAAATATATGCTTGTAATAGGTGCCCACTTTTATAAAGACAGAAAGCTGCCACAAACGGAACATGAGGTCCAGGGGGGGGGGGGGGGGGGGGGGAGGCGGTGAGTATATTAAGAGACATCTCAAAGTGACTGACAGAATTGAAGGTAAGAGGAAACTGATAAATTCAAATTTGAATAGTTTGAAAATAAATTCT